TCACACACACACCTCACACGTGCCCCTTCACACGCCCTCACACGCACACACTATCGCACACACACACCTCACACACACCTTCACACACACACCTCACACGTGCCCCTTCACACGCCCTCACACGCACACACTATCGCACACACACACCTCACACGCACCTTCACACACACACCTCACACGTGCCCCTTCACACGCCCTCACACGCACACACTATCGCACACACACACCTCACACACACCTCACACACACACCTCACACGTGCCCCTTCACGCGCCCTCACACGCACACACTATCTCACACACACACCTCACACACACACCTCACACGTGCCCCTTCACACGCCCTCACACGCACACACTATCGCACACGCTGCACTTTCTCTCTGCGGAAACGTCGTGCGGGGAAATTGTTCTGAGAAGAAGTCCCCGAGGCGGCAGGGGGCCGTTACGTCCCCGCACATTCATCACGATGCCGGTAAGTGCGCGAGCGCGTGCGTGTGTGCGCGTGTGTGCGTGTGTGTGTGCGTGTGTGTGTACGTGTATGTGTGTACGTGTGTGTGTACGTGTGTGCACGTGTGTGTGCCTGTGTACGCGTGTGTGTACCTGTGCGCGCGTGTGTGTGCGCGTAGGTGTGTGTGCGTGTGTGTGTGCGCGTAGGTGTGTGTGCGCGAGTGTGCGCGCGTATGTGTGCACGTGTGTGTGCATGTGTCTGTGCGTGTGTGTGCGTGTGTGTGTGCACGTATGTGTGCGTGTGTGTGTGCACGTGTGTGTACGTGTGTGTATGTGTGTGTGGAGTGGTAGTGTAGCGGTTAGCACCCTGCGCTACGAACCCGGCGACCCGGGTTCGATGCCCACTCACGGCTAACACCAGTGGCGATTATCTGAACCGGTCCTGGGCCTCCCCTAGGTCGACTCAGCCTGCAACTAGTACCTGGTGCGGTGTGTAAACATCGCCGCTGGGGAGACAAAGGCGATCGGGGTGGTGCTGACCACCCACCCCCTCGTGTACCGTTCCGCCTTCATAGGTGCTCGCTAACAGCACTTGCCCCTACAGTCTGTTAAGGCTATACGGGGGATCTTTGCCTTGCACGTGTGTGCACGTGTTCGCTCGCTCACAGCACTTGCTCCAAAACCGTTGTCCGGCTATCCCGGGGCATCTTTGTCGTGTGAGCAAATTTGAACGAAGTTCGTGGCGCCTTATTGTCAAGAGATGACGATGATGATGATTCAATTGTCTGTCTGGAGCGTCCTATTGTCAAGAGATGATGATGATGATGATGATTCAATTGTCTGGAGTGTCCTATTGTCAAGAGATGATGATGATGATGATTCAATTGTCTGGAGTGTCCTATTGTCAAGAGATGATGATGATGATAATGATTCAATTGTCTGTCCGCAGCGTCTTATTGTCAAGAGATGATGATGATGATTCAATTGTCTGGAGTGTCTTATTGTCAAGAGATGATGATGATTCAATTGTCTGTCCGCAGCGTCTTATTGTCCGGAGAACGGCCGTAGTTGTTAACACGTTGCACGTCAGGGGGGGGGGTTCACAGTATTCTCATCAAACCGACAAACACATATATAATTAAATAATTGCACATATAATTATATATTGTTGGGTTTTCCTCCCCCGTATATATATAGAGCAGGCGGCGTTATCGGCGAACAGCAGCACCTGTAGCGATGGCTATGCCCATCAAGATTGCACGAGAGATGATGATTATGATTCACTGCTGCTCAGCGGCATGAGAGTAATGTAGGAAACGCGTGGACTGGCGCTTGTCAGTAACCCGACCGCCATCGCCTCAAATCCCTCCGTGCTGATCGGGACGAGTCTGCCGAACACCTGAGTTGGAATCCCACACGCCGCCTGTGCGTGGACGACGTGCGCTCTGTCCGCAAGCGCGTCTCGCGAGGTAGGTGGATCTCAAGTGCGTGCGTTGTCTCTGCGTTCCATGAACGCGTCTTCGCATGCACGCACGTGCCCGTGTTTTGTTATAATTGTACGAGGGCCGTGTTCATGGTCCAAGCCCGTAAAGTGGAGATCTCAGTCGTGTCTCTGCGCACAACCCACACGGTCCACTCGGTGTTGTTGTAGAGTGAAATTTGACGGACGCTGTCTTTCCGACAGCCCTGTTCTTCACCTGAGGACGACTGCTTGCGTTGTGGCCGAAACGTCGTGAGGATTGTATTTTATTATGTTTTATTTTTATTATTTTATTATTTCCCATCTACGTAACTTTACCGAAAGAACCAAGAAGATGAAATTTGAGTGTTCAAGTCCATACGGCGTGCAGCCGTTGCAATACGGCCACGTATTTTTGTGTCTATTTGCGTGTCTCCCGTGTGATGGGACTATACAGGATGAACGTCGAAATGCATAGGGGCGCTGGGTGACAAATACGGTCTGAGTTGGTGTGTAATGGACAATGCTGCTCTTCAGGAGCTGCTGGAGGTTTATGTTTTGCACAAAGTCAGAGTGCGAGTTTTTAACGCACCGCGTTGTTTAAAGTGCCTCGCCTGGAGGTGGAATCGAACCTGCGCCCTCTTGGTTGCAGGTCCACCGTGCCGACCATGACACCACTGTCGCAGCTCCGCCAGTTGCTCAGATTCACATGTTGTGTTTTTCGCGAGATATTTCTGTATGTGCATCAAACCGGTAACCGTTATTTTCTTCCAATACGGTTACCGCTAATACGAAGACACGCTGTAACCTGCCCCTGTGTGATACGTGCGCAGTCTTGTGGGTAGTCGTGCTGGAAGCGACTGATCGCCGCAAGGCGTTATTGCCCCCCGAGAACCGAGTTCAATTCCTGACCCATGACGAACTGCGCCTCGCCATCCACTGCAGAAGGTCTTCCCCCAAGCCTCTGCGATGTAGCCATTCACCGCGAGATATCTGCCTGCGTGCCAGCCGATGCCATCGCTCCATCTCCCCTCGGAACGCGTTCCAGGAGGACGTCCACTGGTTGGCGGCGTTGTGGACCTCGCCGCCTCGGTCACCGCGAGCGTTCAGGGGCTCGATGTCTGCTGCTGGCCACTAGGAGAGGGCCTCAGGGGAGAAAGAGAGTTCGCGTCGTGTCGCTCCTCCTCATCGGCTGAATGAGAGCAGACTGAATGGTCCGTAGCTCTGGTGGCACGGTAGCGATCGCATAGTGGCTCGCTTTAACGCATCTCTGTGGGCCACTTCGTGAGTTGTCTCTCTGTGAGTCTCTCTGTGTTTGTGTGTCTTCATCGAGTTACTATGTGGTCCATAGTTGCACCGGTGTGGCTCGTCGAATGTTTCTCGATGTCTCTCCGTGGCTCTCGATGCGTCTCCGTGTCCCTACGGGTTGACTGCACGCTGCATAGTTGCGGGTCGCATGGCCACGGTCGCGCTCCTGTGACTTGGATCTTGAATTGTCCATTCGCGAAGGAGATGCGGTGCAGCGCCGTCTCCCCGCTGATGTCCCCACCGGTGTCTTTGAGGTGCGATGTCAAAGCCAGGCGGTGCGCAATGTTTGAGTCTCGAACGTTTGGCCGGATGTTATGAAGTTTTCTCTTAGGTTATCGAAATGAGAAACCAGGGCATTGGTGTAAACCCTTTGAGCCATAATAGGTGCTCGCCAATAGCCTAAATATCGCTAAGCGCGTTATCTGCACTAACACGAAGTGTTTCGCTGTACCATGCTGACATGTACAGTGCAACCTCGTGGGGTTTGCGGTTTCTATCCGCACAGGAACACGCTCAACGGCTCGATTCTCCGCGCCGATAGCCCGAATGGACTGTCAAATAGTGTACGTTAACATTGAGTCACAGCTCCGATAAACTATGACGTGCCCGCATCGCAGCCCACGTACACCGTTATATTTGAGCACGCATTTAAAACAAATAAAAAAATATATCTATAAGGAACGAAACGGGAGGATTTCTCCACAAATCTGGCTGTCGCCTGATGAAGCGATTTGTAATTACTGGCGAAACGTCGTGCTCAGATTGTAAATGTTGTGGCTTGGCTCTCCAACACACAACCGGTGTGCTGTACTAGTACACTACACTATACACTACACTATACACTACACACTAGTGCTGTACGAGTGACGAATTGGCACGTTCTATTTACGTGACAACCCTTACTAGTTGGCTGTGTCGGGTGGTGGCGGGTTTAACGACACGTTTATATATTTACGCGATCTCACCCCCAAACAACCCTCTATTATGGTTGAATCCACCTGTTGAGTGTTGTTATCATCATTATCATCATTATTCTTTGTAATACCCACTTGCACGTGTGTGGGTTTTTACTTTGGGGTTCTTCGATTTCCTCCCACAAGCTAAAACACACCCAGCCGCGGCAATTCCCGGCATCCCGACACGAGAGCGCCTCTGGCAAGCGGCGCATCTGGGAAGACAACCTGGCGGCACTTGCCGTCAAGCCGCAATGTGCGTGTATTTGTGGAACTTCTTTCGCGCCGTACCTAGCCAACAGCCGACAGCGCTGATCGCAGGCGCGGGGAGGGGGGGGGACAACAACAACCACACAACAACAACAACAACCACCACACAACAACAGCAACCACCACGGCACGACTCTCCACAACTTCAGCGCAAGCATCGCTTCGGCAGGCGTGGTCTCATCAGCAGTGTCCGGTGTGTCCGAGTCGGGGGGGTTTCATTAGTACCGTAGTTTGTGTTGGGTAGATAACATTGCGTTGTCTCATTAATATCATTATTTATTTATTTTCCCCTTTTTGTCGATTCGGTCTCAAATGAGTACCTGGTGCTGTTGTGCGGCTGTGACATCAGTGGCGGGGAGACAAAGGCGATGGGGAGGGGGGGGCTGTAACATCAGTGGCGGGGAGACAAAGGCGATGGGGAGAGGGGGGGGGGTCTCCACAACTGACCTTGCCATGGCATTATCGGTCTCTGGCGTCTGCCACGTGCTGGTAACGGCAGCACGGTGGTCCTGGCAACCGCGGCGAGCAAAGCGAGCGAGTTGGTGGCCACACTTTGTAATGACTCCGAGCAAGAGGGAGGGGGACCCGTGAGACGGCGCTATTGTTGTTGTTATTGTTGTTGTTGTTATTGTTGTTATTGTTGTTGTTATTGTTGTTGCCATTGTCCTTTGTGGTTGGGTACGGCGCCGCTGCTGATGGTGGCGCCGTCTTGGCGAGCCACTTCTGGCCGTGAAGGCCGACGCGCGAGTCTCGGTCCCTCCCGCAGTGCTGGCGCCCGTGGCTGGATGCGAGGGTTGGGGCTGTTGGCCTGTTGAGGCCCGGAGTTGTCAGCGTGGCCTGGGAAGAGAAGTGAGCGTGGCCTGGAGCGGCGTTGTGCCGCCGTGGGAAGGGAGCGATGGCCGAGGCTGACGCCGGAGTGGGAGCCAAAGGCGGCGAAAGTCGCCGGGGAGTTGGGCCACCGTGGGGATGGCGGCAGCTTGGGGAGAGGCCTTCATCCAGCGGCGGATAGATCGTGGCCAATGATGCCATGAAGATGTTAGCCTGCTAACGATGTATCCATCAACTTGACCTCTGTGGACTAAGCAAGCCCCCCCCCCCCTCTCCTTCACGTCTCTGTTGGACTCTCAATACCCGGGGGTTGAGTCGAGGCCGCGCCCGTCGCGTGCGACCTCGAGTCTCGCGGCGTTGCAGGGAGACCCGCAGGGGCAGGGAGACCCGCAGGGGCAGGGAGACTCCGCAGGGGCAGGGAGACCCGCAGGGGCAGGGAGACCCGCAGGGGCAGGGAGACCCGCAGGGGCAGGGAGACCCGCAGGGGCAGGGAGACCCGCAGGGGCAGGGAGACTCCGCAGGGGCAGGGAGACCCCTGCGGGTGAAATGCGCCTGACGAACGTCAATGATGATGATGATGATCTAAGCGCGTGCAGGAATCACTTCCCAGTGAAGCTCGCGTGACTCTGCTTGTTCTGCGTCGCTGTCGCTCAACTTGTGGCTGTGGGCTGCGTGGGCGCGCGTGCTGCATCCAGCCAGCCTTGGGATATCATCAACCCACGCGCTCTCTGGCCGGACAGGTCCAAGATCTGCCGCGCCGCGGACGCTGTCGCCTCATGCTGGAAGCAACAAACACAACCGGGCAGCTGAAAGTGCTGCAGGTCGCCGCCACGGATGTGCCGGTGCTGCTGCTGCTCCTTCATAGTTTGAAGGGTAGTAGCTCCGCGTGCCACGCCTCGCTGCCCGGTGACCTGTGACGAGTTCAGATTGGATGCGAGTCGCTTTCACTGGATCGAGAACTGCGGAACGGGGCGCAGCGACCCGACGGGAGGCTTTCGATGCCCGCTTTGTTGCAAGCGGCACGGGGTGGCAGCGTGCTGGTGGTGGTAGCACTCGCGCCGCGCACCAAGGAGACCTGAGTCCGATTCACAACTCAGGCACCGTTCTAGATGGGGGTGTGTATGCTCTCCCCCTGTTTTGCGTGGGCTGATTTCTCAGGGTTTTCAAGTTTCCTTCTCTAGGTGTAACAAAAAACCACACGTACAATGTAACTGGTACTGGTGAAAGATCTTAACGTTGACGAACTACCTGCAAATGACTCAATTAGGATTACACAGCAGCAGCAGCATCACCCCTCCCCTACTGCGAAGAGCTTGGCAGGACCCTCCTGGAAAGCAGTCTTGAGACTCGGTTGAGGCTTCCCGCGGGTAAGCAAGCGGAGCAATAACAACATCATAATGTGATGCATTCAAATGGCATCTGCAAGATCGTGCAATTTAAACAATTAAAACTTCTTAACACGTGGGTCTTCACAGCCTATGTTATGATTCAGAATTGAGTTTATTCTTAGGCCACGTGATGACCTGCGCGCTTTGTGTGGTGAAACCTGCTCATTCTGACTTCCGGGAGCAGGACCTGAAGATCCTTGGCACAGTTTCGTAATTTTAATTTGCTGCTAATTCTGGTTGTGACATTTGTCCTCAACATTACCGCCGAGTTCAAACAATAACAACTGGCGCACTGCGATGCTTGCACACCAAGCGACCATTTAATATGTTTGGCGATGTCGGGTGGTGGAGGGTCGTCACGACATCTACAGTTGACAAGATCATTACCGTGGCAAAGCCCAAACCATTCATTGAATGAATTTCAACCTGCGCTCATGAGACCATCACACACACACACATTTTTCAATCTCCCCACTGCCTCCCCAATCCAATCCCTTATCCATTTCAAGATCGCACTCGCCATCTTCAATATTGTCTTTTGTGTTTAGTTTGTTGTCCTTTCCCCGCACCTCCAATTGCCACGGTTGACTACGTACGGTGCGAAAGAAGTTCAACAAACTATACATTCCTTCTCCATGGACTTGCCCGTGTACCTGCATCTCAACTCACCGTACTCACCCTCCAGCGAGCCTTTGTGCTGAAGCCCCAAGTGAACCGCGTCCCGTGGGAGGTCGCTCATTCTCCTCCGCTGCTCCCACAGCCACCCGTGCTGTCGAGGCTGAAGGGCCTGGCCCTTCTCCTCTGCCCATGGCTGAGGACGACTGCCTCTTTGTCGCGATGACATGAATGTGGCCGTCGTGTCTGTGCGGCGTGGTGAGATGCAGGCGCATGGAGCTGCGCTGGCAATGTCCACTGCGATGTCAGCACTAAGCTCGCCGTGCTCACACAGGCAGGCGAACAGCGCGCCAGTAGTGGATACGTCGTGGGAATTCAACACTTCAAGCTGAACGAGTTTCTCGACTCCACGTGGGTCAGAGTGTATTGACAAATGCGATAATGCGGGAAATGTATTTACCCGGAAAGAGACTCGCAGAGTCTAAAAGACACAGATCCAGAAGGGTTCATGCATTGGGGATGTTGCAAGCGCGAGGAAACCGAAGTGCCCGGAGAAAACCCCACCCTTTGCAGAGTGTAGCAATCAAAGTTGCACACACACACACACATGCACCAATACACAATGGCCATTGTGGTGAAGTATGGTCAAACAACCTTTGTGATCAACGTGGCATGGAGAGGCCTACACCCACGAGTCGATTGTAAAAGGATTGTAAATTATCTGTCATTGTTTTAAATGTTACACGAGAAAGAGACGAGTATTCGTACAAGGGGATTCATACCCCAAGTCCTGACACGTGCTTGGAACTCAGCGCCGATTTAGGAATCGCTCGCCGTGGCCGGGATTCGAGCTCGGGTCGCCAAATAATTACTGCACCACCACTTTTGTTCATTCGTCACAGTCTGTGATTGCATTCCGATGATCTGTGCTCTGGTGGGGGGAGGGGGTGATATCACGGGCACGTGGCCCGCGGTTTCGTGGAACCGAGAAATATTCAAAATAGCGCGGACGTGACCCCTGGAGGAGCGAGCCGCGTGAGATGCAAATAGCCCGGCACCCCCCTCGTGCCCCCCCCCCTCGTGGCCCCCCCCTCGTGGCCCCCCCCCCTCGTGCCCTCCCCTCGTAGCCCCCCTCTCGTGGCCCCCCCCTCCTGTCCGGCTCGCACAATCTTCCTCGTGGCCACGGGAAATATTTCAGGTTGACATTTTGGACAGAAATTTTCATTTAGTGCACTGATTCTATATATTTTTGCCGAGATATCTGTGATCTATTCCTTTTACACGGATATGAATGCCTGTCAACCCATACGGTTGAGCCATATGCGTGTGCAGGGAAATTGAGTTTGCAGGTCCATAAGGAGCACAGCCGTTTCAATTCGGGCAACAAAAAAACCACGCTTCTGTCTGTTTGTGTTTCTCGCTTGTGATGGAACTTTGTAGGATGAACGTTGATAAGGGGCACGGGGTGACCAATAAGGTCTGACTTGGTCTGTAATGAGGCAGGGCACTGATAAGGGGTTGACAGCTATGGATCTGTGATTCGGTTATTTTATTTATGCGCCAACAGTGAATAGCTGCACTGAATCTGTTTCTCCAGGGGCTCCGGCTGCTTTGGTGACGTCCACAGTTATTCTATGTGGCCTGGGTGGATAAATAATGGCAAAGAAAGTGACAGACATCCTGAAGTCTCTAGAGCCATCGGCGGAAAGAGAACACCGAGTGATTGTATCGTGAATAAAATACAGCTCTAAGGACGACGATGAGATCAGCTTCGGCGCGCAGGTGTTTGACGGGCAGTCTTTATCGACCGCGGGACCTTGACAGATGGCAATGGCACGGGAAAGCCTTCCAGCAGTCAATTATTCATGGCTGATGATGCCGACTGATGATGATATCTGCTGTGTAAGAGGATGTGAGAGAATAAAAAAAAACAATCCCTTCTGCCACTTTGCCAACTCGTGTCACCGACGAGCAAGGTGGAGTTGGGTGCGGTGGAGGGGTGGATAATAGGGGAGAGAATTGTGGATACTAGGGGAGATAATTGTGGGTAATAGGGGAAGAGAATGTGGATAATGGGTGAGAATGTTGTGAGTAATAGGGGAAAGTGTTGTGGGTAATAGGGGAGAGTGTTGTGGATAATAGGGGAAAGTGTGGATAATAGGGGAGAGTGTAATTCGTGCGAGTGGGAGGCAGGTAGTTGTGCGTGTGCGCGTGTGACTAAGAGCGGAATGCATGTGTGGCAACGCAGGTAGAAATGTCACTGTGGAATGAGTCACGCTGTGGGGTGCAGCCCACCCACGAAGTTAGCACCACGTGCGAGCCAGACGCAGAATACAAACAATGTTCATATAAAGAAAATTTGGTAAAAAAAAAAAAACTAAAAAGCCAACCGTACTGGGGAGCGCGTGTTCGCCTGGACATGGACTTCATTCGTGACCGGCGTCGTCCCGTGGACGTCTGTGTCATCTCAGCGCTGCCGGGATGAAGCCGCCTTCCTGCCGCCTGTGCGTGGCCCTCCTGCTCATGGGCGCCGTGAGGCCTTGCCGAGCCGAGCCCGGTAAGAGGAGCTTCACTGTCATCGTCCACCATCGTCACCATCGCATCGTCGTCGTCAACACCACGCGCGTCCTCTGAGCTCGCGGGTCAGAAAACGAGAACAACAAGAAGAGCTTTTGTTCTTCAAATTCTGTACAAAAAACATTGATAAGCCGCAATGCGTTTGAATTCGAAACGGTAGGTCATTAATACGTGACGTCACGAGACAGGGTTTTAATGATCTGCTTGTGGCTTGGGAGCCGCAGGTTGCTGATCGCATCCTGCCTTAGCTACTTGTCCCATACTCATCAACCTCATCATTGCTCCCACACGTCTGGCTACACAATCATCATCGTCACCATCACCGTGGCCATCGTCTTAAATCCTCCACCATCATCATCGTCACCATCACTGTGGCCATCGTCTTAAATCCTCCACCATCATCATCGTGACCATCACTGTCGCCATCGTCTTACATCCTCCACCATCATCATCGTTACCATCACTGTGGTCATCGTCTTACATCCCCCACCATCATCATCGTGACCATCACTGTCGCCATCGTCTTACATCCCCCACCATCATCATCGTGACCATCACTGTGGTCATCGTCTTACATCCCCCACCATCATCTATCGTTGTCGACCTCCGTCTAGCAGCGACCACATTAGCGGCGCCAGCCGCATCACGTCGCCCTCGTTTCATCGCCACCGCCGCCGCCGCCACCACGACGATCAGCGCTGTCAGCGCTAATCTTACTCATTGTCTTCTTGGTTCTTTCGGTAAAGTCACGTAGAAGGGAAGTAATAAAATAATAAAAATAAAACATAATAAAACAATTCTCACGACGTTTCGGCCACAACGCAAGCAGCCGTCCTCAGGTGAAAACCAGGTCCGTCCATTCAGACTCTGTCGCCTCGACGGACCTGGTTTTCACCTGAGGACGGCTGCTTGCGTTGTGGCCGAAACGTCGTGAGAATTGTTTTATTATGTTTTATTTTTATTATTTTATTACTTCCCTTCTACGTGACTTTACCGAAAGAACCAAGAAGATGAATCCCTGCAGTCACGAAAGCTTTAAATCGAAACTTACTCATTGTTTTAGAGACGTCACTATCTTGACGTCCAATTTGAGAACGCAGTGTGCGGTTACAGAGAGCAAGGGGGGAAACAAACACGTAGGAGAGGCAGTACAACGTGGGAAGGTAGCTGGTCTGGTGAGGGTTAGCATCATTGAGATGACAAGTTCTAGTGACTGGCTGGGTGAGAGTGACTGAGATGACTAGTTCTAGTGGCTGGCTGATCCTCTCGTTGTTATCGCTCAGACTTGAAGCCACCGTCCCAGGTTCGTCTCAAGGCCTACGTGGAGGGCATCCGGCTGCCCGTGCGATGGAACCCCTCGCCTCTGCAGGAGAACCCCGCCCGCAGTCTGCTCTACCAGCTCCGCCTGTGCTTGCCTGCCGAGACGGACGCGAGGCCTCAGTGTGAGGTTGGTCGGCCTGAGAACCGGGGAAATCGACAGCATGGGTTGGGGGCCCTGTCGTTCCCACGGGCCCAATCTCTCCCTCTCTCCCTCTCTCTACGGGCCGTGTTACTTTGTCAACGATATCAGCGATCGGGGCCTTTCTTCAATTTAGCGCTGTGCATGAGACTTACTGAAAAACTTTGCATTAGATTCTCTTCCCAGTTGCATCCAAGTGTTCGACTTGCTCCTGGTGTGACTTACAGCGCTCTTTGCCGGCTTCTTCTTGTGCCGATCTTCCAAGTGGAAGCACATTCGTACGTCGTCTCTTTTTTTCTAAAGAGAGTTCGAACGAAGCTGATATCACAGAACTATTTCTGAGATCAAGTGATACCTCTAAACAAACTACGCGTGTCAACGTTCAGTCATGGAGCTGGCGAAACATCTCAATATAGGGCCACAGAGCTTGGGCAATTGTTGGTGCCGATTCTGGCTGCCTTCCCCGCTTTTCTGTGGTTTCCTGCGCCTCTGTTAAAAAAACTGCGTGCGTTACAATTTGCACGATTGTCGCCGATATATATTTGTATTGTATTATAATTATGAATTCAACTCGTGTGCAGGAGCGAGATGGACTGTTCCTGTGTTTGCGAGAGCGTGAGATACACCGACCGCTTGTGGGCGCCTCAAGCCAGCAGCGGATAGATGCCGACGAGGATCTTGCGCGTCTGACCGTCGTCTGTGCGCGCGCGACGCTTCGCAGGGATCTTGCGTCTGCCAGCAGAAGCAGAAGGGGAGCAAAGTGTTGGGCTGGCCGGATCGGGAGGTGACCGTGTCCGTGCGTTCCGTGGCCTACGACGCCGACGACGCCGACGGCGGCGCGTGCCCTTGCCCCTCGCTGGACACCGCGGGCAACGCTAGCGCGTGGACAGAACCCATCACCAAGCCTCCAGTCGGTAGGACCCACCGGCGCAAACGCAAATCTCACTCGGGAATTGGCTCGGCTTGAAGTCACACCGGCGTGTCCGCGAAGGTGCGGTCCGCCGGTGTTAACACACTTAGACCTCAAACAGACAGATCTCGCTTAGCGCTCAAGATGCGTTCCTGGGGAAGTGAGCGCGAATCAAATGGACGCTTAACGAGGTCATGATGCAAGCCCGTGTAGTACTCCAATCCCCCGCCAAATCTGCAGCTCGGCGAAGGCTTCCTGCGTCTCGTGCCGTGGGTCTGTTGCCGTGACCTGTGCCACGTGGTACAGGATAGCCGCTCGATGTGTGTGTGTGTTGTTGTTGTAAATTGACGATGTGCCTAAGTGTGTATGTTGGACATCTTTCGCACTGGACGTAGCCGACCGTGCTAATCGGGGGTGCGGGGGGAGGACAAGAAACTAAACACAAAAATAAGTTGTTGGTGGGTTCACGACACATTTATATTTACGCGATATAACCCAAAAAAAAACTTGTCTTATGAATATTGGTCGCTAAAGCCGACTACGTGTTAAACCTTCCGCAACAGTCTGTTCGAGGCGACACGGGGGATCTGCGTGTGTGTGTGCGTGCAGGCGAGCCCGGCACGGCGGCTCGTGACGTCTCGTGTGTCTACCGAGACATGGAGGCGTTGGAGTGCCGCTGGAGAACCGGGGAGAAAGCTCCCCCGGGCACCAGCTACTCCCTCTACTACGCCGTGTGAGTTTCCCGCACGCTGACGACGGCTCGTGGCCTCATGGTTACCAGAAGCGGATTTAGGAACTTCCCAAGTGGGAGGTGGGGTGGGAGAGGCAGTCACAAAATGCTAGATTTTCATCAATAGCCCCCGACGTTCCTTGAAAAACAGAATCAACGTATTTCCCCCGCGGTAAATCTGAATAGAGACACACATGTCTGGGCCTTCGAGGGGAAGAGTGGTGCTGGTGGTGGTGATGGGGGCAGTTAATGCTGCCACCATCCACCCTCTTGCCTCCGCCACTGAATGCCGAGCGCGCCGGACTCGCAATCCAGAGGGCGCGGGTCGATCCCAGCTCCCGGCGCCGGTGGCCAGAGACGTCCCCCCCTCCGCTGCCTCTGCCCACCCAGCAGCGCGAATGGGCGCAGCGCGGCCGACCGAGGGGCTGCGAGCGTTGGGGGTGTCGCCCACCTCCTCCAAGACGCCCGGGCCGGCGTGGAGGAGTCGGGCGAGTGCCCTCTGGTGGAGGTCATTCCGCCGGGAGTGGCGTTAGCGATCTGCACGGCTGCAGCTCGTGCCGTGGGGTCTCCGTGCCCTTGGATGGTGGTGAAGACGCAACGATGACGATGACGCAATAGCTCCCAAGACGTAACGATTGCGATGTCATTGCAGCTACTTGGACGAGCCCCTCCTCTGGACGAGGTGTGGGGACGACGAGGGGGGGATGCCCCCGGGCACGCCGCGTTGCGTCAGCAGCAGCATCGTGGAGTGGGACCGAGACGCCAACAGCTTCGCGATCCTCGTCAACGGCACCCTGCCCGGCGGGGAGGCGGCTCGGCCCAGCCTGCTCATCATCACCCCCTTGGAGAAAAGTACGATCGCCACACCACGCTTCATCATCACCATCATCACCAGTCAGCCATGATCAGTCCACTGCTGGATGACCCCGTGCTGCGAGCGACCCCCAACTGAGCCACGTGACCCCGAGCGACCGTCTGTGCCCCCCCCCGTCCCCTCCCCCCCGCCCCCTCCCCCCGTCCCCTCCCCCCCGTCCCCTCCCCCCGCCCCCTCCCCCCCGTCCCCTCCCCCCGCCCCCTCCCCCCCGTCCCCTCCCCCCGTCCCCTCCCCCCGTCCCCTCCCCCCGCCCCCTCCCCCCGTCCCCTCCCCCCCGCCCCCTCCCCCCGCCCCCTCCCCCGTAGTCTCGCCGAGTGCTCCGCGGGGTCTCCGCGCCTCCGTGCTCAGCCCGTCGAGCCTCGTGTTCGTCTGGGACCCTCCCAGCAGCACGCGGCTGCTCAGCTTCGTCAAGTACCACGCGCGCCTCGTCACCCCCCGCGCGGGACGAGAGGTGCGAGTTGCCGTCACGAGTCCAGACGATCGCGGCACAGCAGGGGCTGGGTTACATGCCCGACTTGGGCGCCCTTCCTGTGCATGTTCTCTGCCCCGCTGTGCAGTGAGTGAGTGAGCAAGTGAGTGAGTGAGTGCAGGTGGTGTGTGTCCCTGTTCTATCGTGTGAATGAGTGAGCGAGTGCGGAGTGACAATGTTTTCTCGGTGTTCCCCCGCGAGCCTGTGAGCATGTGAGTGAGTGAGTGGAGTGTATATGTTCTCCCAGGTGAGCCTGTGAGGATGTGAGAATGTGAGTGGGTTGGAAATGTCCTCCCCCTGATCTGCATGGGGTTTCTCCGCGGTTCTCCAGTTTGCTCTCATAGCAAGCAAAACATTAAATGTAACTGGAATGAGCCAGAACATTCCAGTGCTGAAAAAGTAATCACTGCGCATAACCCAATTTGCATTACACGTAGCAGCAACATTGCCACCCCCACACTGCAAACACTTGGCAGGACCCTTCTTGAAAGAGCCTTGAGACTGTGACATTTTTATTTGCAAACAAGAGAAACAGTAACAATGTTTGTCATCCATCGGTTACGGTCGCCACATTGTCCACAGAACAAACCAGGGGACATGTTTCTCAGCCGGCGTAGGACCGATCAAACGGGTGCGGCGCTATCCCTGCGTGTTCGTCACTGCCCCACCGTCGCTGAAACTAACGCCGCTGCTGCTATTCACGTGTGCCGCTCACAGCCCCAGGTGCTGGCTGACACCTTCATAGAGAAGAGGACCGCGCTGGACTTGGTCGTGGACCCAGGGCTTCCCTACCGCGTGTCCGTCCGAGCCATCCCCATCTACTCCAAGAACTTGAGCAGTCCCTGGTCGCACTTGGATTACTCGCGTGAGGCACTCGTACACACGGGCACCTCGTGTCCGTACACCTGCAGAGTCGCACACCTGTTTACCTGCGTGTCCGTACACCTGCAGAGTCGCACACCTGTTTACCTGCGTGTCCGTACACCTGCAGAGTCGCACACCTGTTTACCTGCGTGTCCGTACACCTGCAGAGTCGCACACCTGTTTACCTGCGTGTCCGTACACCTGCAGAGTCGCACACCTGTTTACCTGCGTGTCCGTACACCTGCAGAGTCGCACACCTGTTTACCTGCGTGTCCGTACACCTGCAGAGTCGCACACCTGTTTACCTGCGTGTCCGTACACCTGCAGAGTCGCACACCTGTTTACCTGCGTGTCCGTACACCTGCAGAGTCGCACACCTGTTTACCTGCGTGTCCGTACACCTGCAGAGTCGCACACCTGTTTACCTGCGTGTCCGTACACCTGCAGAGTCGCACACCTGTTTACCTGCGTGTCCGTACACCTGCAGAGTCGCACACCTGTTTACCTGCGTGTCCGTACACCTGCAGAGTCGCACACCTGTTTACCTGCGTGTCCGTACACCTGCAGAGTCGCACACCTGTTTACCTGCGTGTCCGTACACCTGCAGAGTCGCACACCTGTTTACCTGCGTGTCCGTACACCTGCAGAGTCGCACACCTGTTTACCTGCGTGTCCGTACACCTGCAGAGTTGCACACCTGTTTACCTGCGTGTCCGTACACCTGTAGAGTTGCACACCTGTTTACCTGCGTGTCCGTACACCTGCAGAGTCGCACACCTGTTTACCTGCGTGTCCGTCGTCGTCGTCGGCAGTCCTTCGGGGTCCGAGGATGACGTCCACCAGATTTAGCGATGGCTCTCGAGGTGGCTGAGGAGTCCAACTGTGGATCCGCAGATCTTGGGCACTGGGGTGCCACGCGGCCCCAGATGGAAGTGGAATCCGCAGTGCCGGGTTGCTTTCCTTTCCCTCTCTGATTGGTGGCGGTGATCCGCTTTGGCATCGAGACGCCGCGTCTCCAAGTGGGCCGTGGCCCGCGGGATGCGGCGACGCCACCGCCAGGCGGTCGGCAGCCTGCTGCTGCTGCTGCTCCTCGTCCCGGTGTTGGAGGCTGATTTTGCGCGCATCAGGGAGGACTCGAGGGTATTCTAGAACCGCTTCCTTCGTCCCTCCACTGGGCAGCTCGGAGAAAATGATCTGGCGGCGAAGGCGATTCTCAGGCATGCGGATGCAGTGGCCGGTCCGTCGGAGTTGTTTTTATCAAAGTATCGCTCCGGTGCTGGTAGGGTGTCAGCCTGCAGGAGGGCACTCGCAGCGGTGCAGCGGCCTTCCCACTCGGTCCCCGGGATTTGACGGAGGCGGCGCCGATGGAAGCGCTCGAGCGCAGTGACGTGGCGCCAGTCGGCAGTCCACGTTTCGCTGCACAAGAAGAGGAGCATCGCAGTGGCAACTGCCCGGTAAAGTGGGAGCTTTGTCGTCAAGCAGGAGATCTTTGCTGTCGAAGACGGCGCTGGCGCTCTGGACTCGGTGTTGGAGAGATGACTCCCGAGGAAAGAGAAACACTCCACGTGTTCAAGTGAAATACTCCACGTGATCAAGTGAAATACACCACGTGATCAAGTGAAATTCTCCACGTGATCAAGGGCCTCTCCATCGACGTAGATAGTCGGGGGACGTTCGGCTGGTGGAGGACCTTGGTTTGTTGGTGTTCAAGGCGAAGCCAAGTCTCTAGTGCGCAGAGTGCAACACGCCGAGGGTCACCTGGACGTCCTGCGCAGAGCGACCACCGCGCAATCTGCAGGTCGTGGATGCCCTTTGCGGTCAGCTTCTTCTTCTTCTTCTTTGCCCGAAAACGTCCGAGGTCGAGGAGCTTCCCGTCCAGGCAGAACTGGATGCTGATGCCAGATGGAAGGCGACCGTGGACGAGGAGGGTGACCACGACCCTATAGATGGTGAATAAGTGGTGGGGGAGACGGGGGGCGATCATGCAACCCTTTCTGACACCCATTCGGACCTGAAAGGCATCGGTTTCAGATCCCCCACTCAGCACGGTGGCGGTCGCGTCGCCGTGCAGGAGCCGCAGGATGGCGACACACTTCTACGGACATCCAAGACGTTGGAGGACACTCCAAAGGGCTCCCCGGTTGAGGGAGTCAAATGCCTTGGTTAGTAGGTCGATGAATGTCAAGAACAGTTCTTGAAGCCGCTCTCGACACTTTTCTTGAATCTGTCGGGCAGCCAAGGCCACATTTGGGTGCCCCGGGATGGTGGGACCTGCTCAGCGACAGGGCTCAGACAATTGAGCCGGATGCGGGCCAGCATCGTTCCTGCTATGGACCAGAGGGAGATCCCCCTGTCGTCTCCACAGCAAGACCCCTTCTTGAAGATTGTTACTACGTGTGTCCACACACCTGTACACTCACACACCTGTCTGTGTGTGTGTGTCCACACACCTGTACACTCACACACCTGTACACTCACACACCTGTACACTCACACACCTGTACAAAGGTGGCCTGACGTGGTGTTGCCGTTCTGGTCTTAATAGGTGCTCGCTAACAGCAATTGCCCCAATAGTCTGTTGAAGGATATGCGGGGGGGGCGGGTTCTTTGTCTTTATCTCCATAGGCGAGTGGTGCTGGCCACGCGATCCCCTCGTGTCACGTGTTGGTCCGTCATTTGTGCTCACTGGCCACACTTGTCCCAACGGTGTGTTGAGGCTGTAGGGGTGACCTGTGTCTTTGTCTTTGTTGTGTGTAGCCAAGGAGAAGTCCCCGTACCCAGGACCCCCACCCGTGTCCGTGCCGCCCGTGGCTCCGCTCGTCATCGCGTTCGGCGCAGTTCTTGCCGTCATCACCGCCATCTCCTTCCTCGTGTGGCGTTGGCCCCGGTAACAAAACCACCGGCATCGTTGTCACCGTCACCGACGTCTTCTCCGCCATCAGCATGATTACAGCTGCCACTGGGGGCCCCCGTGGATAGACTGCCGCACGGCGATGGAATGGATGAGATGGGATGCAAGAAGGCGCTGTCAGTTGCTGAGGCATTCCAGGAAGCGCCAGTGCACACAGAGATCCTTCAATCCTCACGAGGATGATCAATTTATAATAAGAATAATGCCCTTTATCTAGCAAAGCCTCGCCGAGTCTCCAGACGGTTTCCCATGCGGGTTCTGCATTGGGATGTTTGTCCAATTGTTTTGGTCTCGAGTTTGTTTTTCAATTGTGGGAGGAAACTGGAAGTAGCTGGAGAAAATCCACCACGCACACATGGGGATGAATCTCAGAAGGTCGGCACAGATCGGTCAGGAACCCACTTGCTGTACTGCTGTCTCTGATCCACCTTGCAATGTCGTGGATGTAGGTGTCCCACAGCACACAGTGATCCTGTATGATCCATTAATCCCACTTTAAAAGCGATGGGTCACAGGCCACCACCATTCCCTTCAGCGTCACCATCTTCTTTACCCTTGGCTCATCTTTGCTTATGTTTGAGTAAAGAACGATGCATGTATCACGGTGTGAAAATGTTGCATTGTAAGATTGACCTTCAGAGGTGTGATCTAAGATCTCTGAAGACCTGGGGTTGAATCCGGGCACCCGCCTCTGAGTAAACTGGCTACTTGTGTGCGGTGAGTTGATGTTCTCAGCACGGACAAAAATAATCACGGTAAAAATGGCAATGCACTTAGTTTGGCATCATTTTAGATCTGAGAATTTAAAGATCAATGAGTTTGCCTCATGCGACCGACATGCTTGTTGGTGGCATGGCGAGTGGGGGAATTCTGCTTCTTACTCTGTCGGGCAGCGCTCACTTGAAAGGGTCTCAGAAGTAGTTCTGCCATGCCCGTCCCTGCGGCCCATCCTCGAGCAGCACGAGCGGTGGCACCGCGACAGAGAGCCGAATGGACACTCCTCACGTGACCAGCAGCACCAGCAGCAGCAGCAGCAGCGCAGACGGGAGAGAGCAGTGGGAGGGGAAATTACGACAGAATAATCTAGATTTTAAAAATTCGATAGTTCACATTTAACCGCATTTTATAAAAAGCCGCATATCTGTAAAAGGAAACAAACTTGTAGCTCTGTGGCAGGAAATGAACTTCCTTTTATTATAAAAGCCATTTCTTGTGTTTGTGTTAAAGTAAATTTACATCGCGCCAAGCGCGAAGGAAGCGGACGCCACAAGCGACGCAGCGCGAGTCTCGGTACAACCCTGTGACGTCACCTCCCTGTGACGTCACTTCCCTGTGACGTCTCCTCCCTGTGACGTCACCTCCCTGTGACGTCACCTCCCACCGCCCACTTTTTGCCTATCCCATCGGGCCTCCAGATTGAACTCTGTAGCAGTGGTGTTTTATTATTATTATTTAGTTATGGTGATTATTATATTGTTATGGTGATGATGATTACACTTGTTCACTAAGGAAAGCCTGAGTCTCAAGGTTATCTTTCAGGAAGGTCCTGTCAAGTTTTGACAGTGGTGGGGGGGGGGGTGATAAGTTTCCCATCTCGTAATTTGTGGTGTGGATTTTTTGTTATTTTACATGAGGGAAGATTGGACCGTGACGCCGGCACAACGATGGGGATCGTCCAATGTGAATTGATGCGTCGTCACATGCCCAATTGTCCACACACACACGTGTATGTGTGTGTGTGTTTGTAATTGACGACAGATGAATACATCTGCTATCAATTGGCCTGGCAGTCAGTCACGACTGGCCGTTGTACTGAATGTGTACGCGTGTCTCTGTCTTGCAGCATGAAGGTTCGAGTTTGGCCGGATATTCCCGATCCTGCTGGGCCATTGGATGCTTTTCTCAAGAGAAACATTGATCCCGTTAAGGTGCGCGATGCAATTTCCTTCACGTGACGTTTATAATCATAATATAAACTTGCAACGCGTCGCCACCGCTGCACCGAGATCGCCTGCTCACTCGCTCGCTCGCACAGAAAGGACGACTCGGAGGCATCACAGACGAGCGGGAAGGCAGCCACGCCGTGGAGACAGTACCAACAATTGCCCAACTTCTGCGGTCCTATATACATTAAGCTGTTATTGGCCAATCATTTTGATTTTTGCTTAAGGGCACTTCGTTCCGCAGCTGAATGCCAATGTCGAGGTTTGCCGCTGCCGCCCACGACGAGACGGCTTCAGGAGCGAGTTCGTGTCGCTTGCCTGCTCCTCCTCCTCCTCCTCCGTTGAAGGAGCGCAGACTGCAGTGGGGTTGACTATATGGTGGACTATATGGTTGACTATATGGTTGACTATAAGGTTGACTATATGGTTGACTATATGGTTGACTATATGGTTGACTATAAGGTTGACTTTACGGTTGACTATATGGTGGACTATATGGTGGACTATATGGTTGACTTCATGGTTGACTATATGGTTGACTATATGGTGGACTATATGGTTGACTATATGGTTGACTATAAGGTTGACTTTACGGTTGACTATATGGTTGACTATATGGTGGACTTCACGGTTGACTATATGGTTGACTATATGGTTGACTATATGGTTGACTATAAGGTTGACTTTACGGTTGACTATATGGTGGACTATATGGTGGACTATATAGTTGACTTCATGGTTGACTATATGATTGACTATATGGTGGACTATATGGTTGACTATATGGTTGACTATAAGGTTGACTTTACGGTTGACTATATGGTTGACTATATGGTGGACTTCACGGTTGACTATATGGCTGACTTTATGGTTGACTCTATGGTCCAAGTTTGGGTTGCGTGGCCACAATGGCACCACCGTGGCCCGCGCCTCTGATGTCCCAGTCGTGAAGGAAGCGATGTCCGCGCTGACGCGACTCTCCCCCCGTGTGCCGCTGGTGGTGCAGGCAGCCGCCTGTGCGCCCCGCCTCGAGGCGCAGGACCCCTACAGCCTGGTGGAGGAGCTCGACTCGCCCCAACTGCCGCAGCCACGAGCCCCCCACCCTCAATAGACCAATGAGCGCAACATACAAATATTATTCGAAGTGTATATACGAAACGTCAAGTGAGATTTCATTTGCTTCCCACGCACAGGTGTGTCGAGGCACGTGACATTGAGTTGTTGGCAGCAATGACTATCGCACAATACCGCCTTGAAAACTCGTACCGTAGTCATGTTTCTTAAGTAACTGACAGACGTGCACAGCATTCGTTAATCCACCGCTGGATGAAGGCCTCCCCATGCTGCGCCGGTCGTGGGGACTTTGAGACCATACTTCTCCACGCTGGTTCAGTGCGGGTTGGTGAATGTGGGCGGGGCAAGGAGACGGTTCAGACGCCACTTGCCACTGATGTTAGCCGTGAGCCCTGCGTGTATTTGATGTTGTCTTCGTAGTTTGGCGACGGGGTATGCGCCGCACCGCAGAAGCTCGTGTGTGTGCGTTCAGCTGTCCGTCCCCCGCGCCTAGCACGGTTGGCTACGTACGGTGCGAACAAAGTTCAACGCGCGGTACAGCGTACGTGGCGTGCATCGAAGAAAGGCCTTGCAAGGCGGGCAGCGAAACACAACGACAGGCCCCGCACATGGTCACCGACAGCGACACGCACACGGTGGCCATGGAGGGGTTAGTCCAAGCTGACTGGGTTCAGTGTCCTGTCAATATTTAGACGACGCCTGTTTTACCCAGGAACAGCCTCATCGAGTCGAAAGGATCTTCTTTTCGGGAGGGTCTTGCCAAGTTGTGGCAGTAGTGACGCGGACGTCGCCTTGTCGTGACCCCCACACGGGTCACGTGAAGCACTGCGATGGGTGGTGTGGACACTGTGAACCACGACAAACGAACAGGTGGTGAGCAGACAAACTCCACGCAGGACGGCGCCCGAGTCGGGAATCGAACCGAGGGGCATCTTGCCGTGAGGTGCGAGTGTTAACCACCGTGCCACTGTGCCACCCCTCCACCAGTTTAAAAAAAAACACAAAAAGTTCCGCAGCGAAGACTCGGAAGGGCTCCTGACGTTTTATTTTTTTACAATTTTTGCTGACCACGTGTCGGAAATGTGCCACAATAGCTGGCGTCATGGCGATCACAGATTACAAATGCACCTCCCCTGGCTATCAGGCCAGCCAGGCATGCTCGGAATTCATTTGCATACCATGCAGCAGGTTATAGAGCGTAGTAAAATGAAGCAATGTGCAACAATGACTTTCCTGTTTTCACTTGAAAAATAACTTATCCCCATTTTTGCGTTCTATTCCTGTAGCCAGGTTCCTCCACTTTTTTCCTGGAATTTACGTCAAGAGATACCAAGAAGTGCACAAAGCGAACTGGTGCATGCACGCAGACTACAAATTAAACTGTGAAAGGCAAACGAGATGTCAAAAGCGAAGACGCGTTAACATCATATGTTGTACAGCCTGAATAGTCACTGTTTATATGCCTGCTCCGTGTATCCTCATAAGAGAATGTTTGTTATCATTACAGCACTTACATTTTGAAAATAAAATATAACTTTAAAAATGTATTCTTAAAATGGGGACATTGTTTCAGCAACGTGGGTTCAAGTAAGGGAAGCACACGGACCATGGGGACGCACAGGGGCTGTTACTTCAACAGTAACCATGATTAGATGATGATGAGTTTTGGATGCTGCTGGGGCTCGCAGTGCTGTACACAATCACAACAACAACAATCACAACAACAACAACAATCACAACAACAACAAGCCGTCACCAGCACCGCTTCAACGATCGGTGACGTGGCGGACAACGACCCTTCGCGTGCTGTGTGCAGAAGGGCCGTTGCCTGAAACGTCGCCTATTATAAATCAACGGGAAGGGTTCATCTCCTAGTTGCTGCTGAGGGCTTTGTGGGCCTGCGGGCTACAACTGTAACCAGCGAAGTCGAACGTGAGGTGAGGAGGCTTCATTGGTCAGAATTCGTCAAATCCAAGAATCAAATTAATAGACAGTAACATTGAGTAATACATTTTCTCTCTCTCAAAAACAACGTTAAAACATTCTTAATGCTAGAACATGCGGAAAACAGCCCCCGTGTACTATTACATTGATAGACCAAGCGTGTTACGTGCACAGTACTGGAGATGACAATTTGACCAAAATTGACGCAAAGTGTTTTTTTTTATATAAATATAAATGTTGAAAATTATCTTCTTACCTTTTCTTCGTTCTTCCTCTGCTTAAGTGAAACTCAGGGACTTTCTACGACGACGTTGCACGGTAGAAACGTCGACTGTTCAAATGTGTTCAGTCGCGTTGGGAATTTGGTCGCAAATGAAAATTCTGCGTCGTAAATCGAGCCGTGGTCGGTCTTCAACAAACGTCGTGAATCGAGCCGCGGTGGCCTTGCACAGATCTCGTGAATGGCGTCACGGCGGCCTTGCATAGACGACGTATATCGAGTCGCGATGCCCTGATATCGGCGTTAATGCGCGTCGCAAATCGGGCTGTCGTAAATAGGATGTAATGTTTTCCAAAGGTTAAATAAAATAGTTTTTTAATCACATCTTAAATATACTGTGCTTAATTGAATATTAATATTTCACGAATGTTCTGCGCTAAATAAAATGGGCTTGAAAAAAATCCGGGCGGAGTAATAATGATGATAAATCATACAACTGTATGAAGCGAAGACTAACTCACGCTTGCTCCGTTGTAGCACGATGCACTTGTAAGGGCGGTGCTATTGATGTACGCGTTGAGTTGTGGTGCTGCTTCAAATGGTCGTTAGATTTGTGTCACTTTACAGCATCTTGTCAATCAATCTACTGCTTGATGAAGGCCTTGCCCATAAGCCTGTCAATCATGGGAGTTGCTTGACCATACATCACCGCACTCGTATGTGCGGGGTCGCCGTGAGGTGGGATGCGGCACTGAGTCAGACGTGACTCGCCACTGATGTTCGCCGTTGCTCGGACTCGAACTGCGGCCGCTGGGTGCATTGTGCAGCGCTTGAACCACTTGCACCGCCATGTCGGAGGTTAAAACGACCGAATTAATGTTGGTTCGAGGAGTAATCGTAGGGTAACCAAGGAATCAGATTGTTTACACTGATAATATGAAACACAGTACGTCCTTTAGTACATTACTGTACTTCCGAAATGCCAAGTAATTGTTTGGAAACCGATTAAATCTCACGTCAGATGTTTTTTATTTATTAGCTTGTGAGCAGCGCTTGCAAGAAGGCTTCTAGCGATGGCGTTGTGTGTGTATTAGACACAACGATGGCGTTGTGTGTGTATTAGACACAACGATGGCGTTGTGTGTGTATTAGACACAACGATGGCGTTGTGTGTGTTTTAGACACAACGATGGCGTTGTGTGTGTATTAGACACAACGATGGCGGTGTGTGTGTATTAGACACAACGATGGCGTTGTGTGTGTTTTAGACACAACGATGGCGTTGTGTGTGTATTAGACACAACGATGGCGGTGTGTGTGTATTAGACACAACGATGGCGTTGTGTGTGTATTAGACACAACGATGGCGCTGTGTGTGTATTAGACACAACAATGGCGTTGTGTGTTTATTAGACACAACGATGGCGTTGTGTGTGTATTAGACACAACAATGGCGTTGTGTGTTTATTAGACACAACGATGGCGTTGTGTGTTTATTAGACACAACATCTCACTTTGTAACCAGCGCACGGCCCCACCCGCGATGTGGCCGCTATGTCGCTGAGCGAGGGGAGCGCGTTATAGACCGCCACGCCATCTCCATTCACAACGACCATTTGTTCAGAGCTCACCTCAGGGCTGAAAATGAGAACAAATTACTGGGGGGGGCGGGGGGGGGCTCATAAATGATTTCCCCTCTGCCCCCATAAGACCCGAGGAGTAGCGGAAGGAGGAGCGTTGCTTCGTCAAGTGGGGTCTCTATGCGTGTCTGTGGGTCTCTATGCGTGTCTGTGGGTCTCTATACGTGTCTGTGAGTCTTTATGCGTGTCTGTGGGTCTCTATGCGTGTCTGTGGGTCTCTATACGTGTCTGTGGGTCTCTATGCGTGTCTGTGGGTCTCTATGCGTGTTTGTGGGTCTCTATGCGTGTTTGTGGGTCTCTATGCGTGTCTGTGGGTCTCTGTGCGTGTCTGTGGGTCTCTGTGCGTGTCTGTGGGTCTCTATGCGTGTCTGTGGGTCTCTATACGTGTCTGTGAGTCTTTATGCGTGTCTGTGGGTCTCTATGCGTGTCTGTGGGTCTCTATACGTGTCTGTGGGTCTCTATGCGTGTCTGTGGGTCTCTATGCGTGTTTGTGGGTCTCTATGCGTGTTTGTGGGTCTCTATGCGTGTCTGTGGGTCTCTGTGCGTGTCTGTGGGTCTCTGTGCGTGTCTGTGGGTCTCTATGCGTGTCTGTGGGTCTCTATGCGTGTCTGTGGGTCTCTATGCGTGTCTGTGGGTCTCTATGCGTGTCTGTGGGGTCTCTATTCGTGTCTGTGGGTCTCTATGCGTGTATGTGGGTCTCTATGCGTGTCTGTGGGGTCTCTATGCGTGTCTGTGGGTCTCTATGCGTGTCTGTGGGTCTCTATGTGAGTCTGTGGGTCTCTATGCGTGTCTGTGGGTCTCTATGCGTGTCTGTGGGTCTCTCTGTTAGTCTAGGGGTCTATCTGTGAGTCAAATTATAATCAGATGAATCATTGATTCCTTCCATAACGCGATGGGGTTACAATGTTCCCTCCCACCACTGCGTTCTGGGGCGTGGTGGTCGGACTCCCTCTTCTGCCAGCAGTGGCATGAGCAGGAAATTGCAGGGCTGCACCTCTACACTTCGATAACCAACGGCAATAATGAACTGAAATATTACGTGGTGGTATAATGACAACAGTTACTGCAGATGTCTCTGCGAAAAGCCTTTGGAGGGGAAACTGTGCGTGCCTATGGCAGTCGTATCCATTCTATGTGGCGATGCTACGATGGTTTTAAGATCCAAGATCCACGAGAATCGTTGTTCATTTATTTGTTACATATTTAATTTCGTGAGAAAAGTTGTACAAAATAACACTGATTGAAATTCATTACAATAATTTGATGTAATTTTTTCAACAAAAAAGTGTCGCCCAATAAATTGTCGCTTACTGAAATGCCTTCCCGAGTTACTGAAATTTAATTTTCACCGTGGGCTTGTGCCATCGTCGTAATCATACAATGAATCACCTCTGCTGAGATTGACAGCGTTTGGGTTATGAGCGTGACAGACTGTAACGCTACAGTGGTCAGCAACCTGTCAGCAGGCTCACGTTGAGTGTGCAGCAGTTGGATAACGAGGTGAAGTCCATCACTGCGTAATTACATCCCGTGCAAAGATATAATGTAAACGGTGTGCGAGCCATCACGCGTTTCTTGTTGTGGGGATCGGTAGCGTAGCGGTGAGCGCCCTGCGCTACGAAGCCAGCTACCCGACTTCAATGCCCGCTCACGGTTCATTTGTAACGAATGTCTAAACCGGTCCTGGGACTCCCCAAGGTCGACTCAGCCTTCTGTGAGTAACCGGTGCGGTGTGTAAAATATCAGCACTGGGGAGACAAAGGCGGCCGGGCTGGGCACCCACCGCATTGTGTGCTGTGCCGGTCTTCATAGGTGCTCGCTAATAAGAGTGTATTAAAGGCTCTATGGGGATCTTTGTCTTTTGCTAATCACGTGTTAATCAACGGCCTGGGCACCCTTACAAACGAGATGTTCCATCTTGAGGGATTGTTGGGAGGTGAAATTATTAAATTATAATAAAAAACCATCGTGGTAGGTGGTGTCAAATTAAATATAACCGCCGCATATTGTCCACTGACATTCTGTGAGAAATGTTGAAAACGTTTCAAGGTGGGTTCTTTTGACGCCTCCAAAAAAATTCCATTAAACCAAATTTTTGTTCGAATGTGGCGGGGATTTTGCTTGCGTTGGATTGCGTACGCGAAGGGATTTTTAATTGTTGTTGTTGCTGGTGAAGGGAAATGCCAAACCAGCGGGAATTTACAGAAGTGTAGCTGCAAAATATCCTGACGCACGTCTTTTAAAGCGACGCGTTCTTAGTTTCGTTGGGGGGGGGGGGGGGGGGTCGGTGTGAAGGTTTCTGAACAAATCGACTCGAGTGGGGAAAGTGACGATGGGAACGCAGATGTCCTGGGACGGCTCCTTCACGCCTCTCGCAAACAGCGACACGCGGAGATGGAGCCACTGCGCATGCATAGCAGAGGAATGTCTTCGAAAAATAGGGGTCAGATTAGTCACCTCCGGCTTGCAATTTAATCGGAGGTCTCGTGCGCGTCAACCTTGACGGAGTCCCACACGTGAATACAGGTGGACTTCTCCACAAGTCTGGATGTCGCCTGATGAAGCTTGTGGTAATTACTGGCGAAACGTCGTACTCGGATTGCAAATGTTGTCGATTTCCTCTCCAACACACAACCGGTGTGCTGTACTATACACTACACTATACACTACACTATACACTACACTATACACTAGTGCTGTACTATTCACGAATTGGCCACGTTCTGTTTACGTGACAACCCTTGCTAGTTGGCTGTGTCGGGTGGTGGCGGGTTTAACTACACAACATTGATATATCTACGCGAGCTAACCCAAAAAACCTCTATTACGGATGAATACAGATGGTTGTGCACTGTGTGGAGAACGGTGGCGAAGTGGTGTTCGCACCGTGATATCGTCTCAGACGTCCGCAATGATGAATGTCTGCAACGTGTGACTTGGTGTTCGATGCGATAGAGTGCAGAAGGGCAACATGTGAATGTGTCGAACGCCTGCGCGACGATGACTCTGGTCACCCGTGGTCAGTGTCTCACTCTGGTGGCTACACGTGGTACTACAAGCGCCCTCTTCACAGCCCTTGGCACGAAGCGAGTGGTTATCTATGAGCCGCTGTTCCCTGCCCTCCTGACCACCCCCAAGGCTACTGATGCTACAATCCACAGAGAGACAGGAAGGCGTCCAACGC